TTATGTATCAAGAAAGCTTCAAAATACAGAGAAAAAAATATAAAACTACAGGGAGAAATGGGAAAATCTACCAACAAAGCTAGAGATTTCAGCTTCAATTTGCTCATATTAATCAGAATATCAAAATGTAGATTTGAATAACCATTTAACAGGCTTGATATGGTAACTGAGCAAATACGGAACTCTATAACCAATACAGATGTTCCTCGTTGAAGGGCCTACCTGTTTAACAAGTGTTTGGACTTAAGATTGAGGTGCGCTGTTTAGACTTATGACCTGTGGCTCAAACTTACGTCCCATTTTTTTTTGTACAGTCCTGTACATCTGTTGATAGAGCCTCAGTGTTTTTTTGTACAGAATACCTTGTTCACACAGTACTGTAACTTTTGCTGATTGTACTGTACAGGAGAGTACTGTAGTTTTATGTTGTTATACATTACAGTACTGCATGTAACAGAAGCAAAGTCATTGAGTTGGAGTTTCCTTTGACCATTTCTTTGTTGTTAATACTGTAATGTACATACTATATACAATTCCTCACCTAGGGCCCAATTCATTTAAGGGCCTAGTTGTAGGAGTGGAACTCGGTCATTAAATGAGAAATGTCTATAATTAGGTATTACATGCTTCCCAAGCATATATGGGATATGGAAAAAAATTCCATCATCTATTAATGTATGTATAAAGGAAGTCAGAAGATCTAAATACATTTGGTACCACATGAACCATATAATTTAAATATACAATTAAAATTAGAAAAAAGAGGAAATAAAATTAGAAGACAAGCTGTTAATAAAAATTGACATGAATTTAGAAATTAGATATACTTCTAAATCATGGTTAAAACAAATGAAAAGTTAAAAATAATTCTGAAACTGGGCATGGCAGTGCACATCTGTAATCCTAGCACTCTGGGAGGAGGGAGGAGGATCACAATTTGATAGCAGCTTAGTCTCAAACTAAAAAGATAAAGGGCTGAGGATGTAGCACAGTGCAAAGGCCCAGGGTTTAGTCCCTAGCTCTGGGGAAGAGGGGGCTGTAATGAAAATACTAAAACGTATTTCCTCCACTCCCTCCTAAACTATTCAGTGAATCAGACTTCTACTCTGAAAAGCAGAAAAGAGATACATATTCTTTGATCCTAATTAAATACAACTATAAGTTAAGAACAAAGTCGGAAAACAAATGCTCTCTTGTGGAATTTTTAGCCTCTCACCATCTAGGTCAAACAGGGATTGAAATTACAACTGCAGAGTAACTGGATAATGGCCGTAATTTAATCACTACCTATCAGAAGCCAAAGAGCACTCGGAGCAGTGTTCACTGCCCTAAGAATCCTTACCACTAGAAAAATCATAAAAAGTGAGTCAAGTCTCCAGCTCAGTGTTAGAAAAGAAAGCATAGTCAAACTAAAGGAAAGCAGAGCAGAAAAATAACTAAATATGGAAGCAGAAATCTGTGAGTTAGAAAACCAGAAAGAGCTCAGTCCCACTGCAGGAAGGTAGCACTGCTTTTAGTTACATGAAGTTTGGACAGCTTGCTGTGACGCTGAGCACAGCAGGGCTGACAGTCTTATTCTGTCCTTGTGGTTAGAGAATGGGCTCTGTGATTGGGAAGCTACTATTTCAAGATCATTTGGGATGTCAGTCACTATTTTGTTCAGTCTGTTTCAGTCTTTAATTTTTATCCTTTTTGTGAAAATACAGACAGTGAAAAACACTGTAAGTTGAAGTGACACTACTGAATGTTTTTAGTGTTTTAGTTTTTTAGATGCCTGTGGTAGTGCTGCACCACCTAGAAACTGAAGAGAAATAGAAAAAGGCTATAAGAAGTCTATGGAAATAGAAACCAAATGATGATTAATGATCATATGGAAATGTGCTCAACATCACTCAATAATAGAAATGGAAATTAACCACCCTGAGTATCTGTCTTCTACTTGTTGTCAGAAATAACAAAAATTCAAAGTCTTCTGTCAGTGAGGCTGTGTGGAGGCCTCAGATGATGGGAGCACCTGCAGGATGCTCGAGCAACATCCCTCGGTGACAAGAGGCCAGAGGTGCCATTGTCCTGCAGCTCAGCAGTTCTGCTGCAGACATGTTGCCAGTGCTTTGCAAATGTATATGGACAAGGTTGCTCCTGTGGCGATGGGCTGTACAGGATGCCCCTGTAAACCTAAGGACACAAAAGAAACCAGTAATAACAAGTAGCGTGGCTAAAGTGAAGGAGATGAAGGTCTAGGTGGCTCTAGAACAGGTAAAAATGAGTTTTTACTTACAATGTTTTCAAACAGGTTTTGATTTAAATTTAGCAGTACTGGAGATTGAACATGGGGCCTTTGTGTTCAGCTAGATCCATAGCCCTTTTTATTTTTCATTTTGAGACAGGGTCTTGCTAAGTTGCCCAAGTTGGGCTGGAACCTGGAATCCTCCTGCCTCAGCCTTTAAGAGTGTTGGGATTAACAGGTGTGCACCACCATGCCCAGCTTCCTCCTGCCATGCAAATTTATTACTCAAACAATTCTGTGGCATAAAACAGTGGACAGTACATACCACAATGGGGAGTTCGCAGGATGTAGAAGTTGAAGTTAAGGTGTAGGGCAGTTGTGCTTCCAAGAACAAATTTCACCCTAGGATCAGCTCTTTGAAGAAGACTATTTTTAACAAAAGAGGGCTCCTTTAGTAAATCATGACTTGGAACCAATTGTGGACATTCTGTAGATTTCCAACTGAGAATCTCAATGACATGTATGTATAGTGCTTGAAGCTCAATGTTTTCTAATCTGAAAATATTCCACAGCTTGCTTTTTGGATATAAGTCAGTGAGGAAGAAGATGGTTTGAGTTTCACTGACATCCAAGGAGAATCCTTTAACTTGATCCATCCATATGTAGAGGACCGCAGAACTATAAAGCTTTGTCTTTGTCCAGTGGTAGGAAGACTGAAGAGAAATAACTGGGAAGATTATAGATTTTTATTGGGAGTACAGTTTTGGTTTTGTTCTTTTGCAGAAAATGAAATTGAAAAGTGAGGGTATTAAGGGTATTTAAAATTGTTTAAGAAGTGTGGTTGTGTTCTTTGAAACACAACTGCAATACATCTGTAAGTTTATCATAACAATTTTCATCTAGTTAATTTTGATTTAAAATGTGTAATTCTCTTTCAGAATCAGTATAATCTGGCAAGAGCCCAACAGTCCTACAATTCCATCGTACAGATACATGAGAAAAATGGTACGTTTTATTTAATAAGTATTTATGAAATTGTTATTTATACTGTTTTATTTTTGTTTTTGCTTTATTATCTTACCAAGTTATCTTTGCCACAGTGAAAACATTTAATTTGTGCTGCATTCAAAATCTCTGGATGAATTATTAATGCTGTGATTTTTTTTTTTTTTTGGTTTTGGGACCTTGCACTTGCCAGGCAGGCGTAGTGTGACTGTGCTAAATCCCCAGCAACACTGTGATTTTTAAAAATCTTTTTGCTCTGCATACTTGCTTAGGTGCCTTGAGTCAGATTCTGACTAGATGGATAAATGAGTCACTGTGCCCACCTGAAAAGTGTCCTAGTAGGGTAGGAATGGGGTTACTGGGCACTGCTCTATGTCTAGAATTCTGTTAGAATTGAATAAATGCAATAAGGGTCACAGCCAGCCATGTGAGAAACATCTTCAGATTACTTAGTGCTTCATGACCGTACACAATGAAGAGTGTATCTTTAAAGAAAATATTTTTTCATATTGGCCCTTAACTTCTGCTTATATTCCCAATGAACATGCTTTGAGGATTTTGTCTTTACATACTGATGTAAGAAACCTAGACCTGGAAGACCATTTTTAAGTGCCATTGGTTTCACCCACTAGCTCTGTGGCTCTGAACAAATTATCTTTCTGCTTTAGTTTCCTGAATTGGCACAGTGCTGCAGTGCCCAAGCTGTAAAGGAAAGGAGCATACACAAAGCACTTTGTACCTAAGTGCTGATAGCAGAACACTCCTGTGGGGAGGGAGTGACTGGTGCCCTTTGTTCAGTGTTCTGGGTTCCTGAAGGGATGTGTTTATAGAAAGTGCTATTTATTTTCCTAGAAATGTGTTCGTTTGTAACTTAAGGTTTGCATTTTGCACTTACTTTTACTTTAATGACAAAATCAACTTGTCGCTTTTCTAGTGATTATTTCTATGGAAATGGTATTAACAAACCAAAGTTTCATGCTAAGAGGAAGATGATAAAATTTGAAGGCAAGACCTAGGTATTGATAATTGTGAATAATAATTGCACCATATTCGTGAAACCCAAAGGGGCCTGTAGACTACAGATAGCGCTTGTTTAACAACCAAGTTCTAGTCTTGGGACTGGATCGTTGAAATGAATTGGTCACTAAATGAGGAATTGTGTATAGTATGTACATTAAAGTATTCACAACAAAGAAGTGGTCAAGGGAAACTCCAACTTGATGACTTTGCTTTTATTTGCATAACTCTTACAATACTAATTTATAACAACATAAAACTACAGTATTGTACTGTACAGTAGTCAGCAAAAATTATACAAATAAGGTGTACTGTTCCAAAAAAAGACATTGAGGCTGTATCAAAGGGTGTACAGAACTGTACCAAAAAGATGGGTGGAGTCCAGGTGGCAGGGCGTAAGTATACGTATAGACAGTTGTTAAACAGGGTGTTAAATGAGGAATGTCTGTACTACACAACCATGTGTCTTGACACGTTTTGGAATATTCCATATTTGGTATGTTCCTTTGACAGTTCACTCCAAACAGCACTTAATCTGCCTTTACTATAGAGAGTAGCAGTCACATTTTTGCCCCTTTATTTCTCTTTATTTTTGGTGGTTCCAGGGATTGAACCCCACGACCACTGCATTCCCAGCCCTTTTTAGATTTTTATTTTGAGACAGAGTCTTGCTAAGTTGCCCAGGCTAGGCTTAAATTTGTGATCCCCTGCCTCAGCCTCTCACATAGCTGGCATTACAGGTATACATCACCTTGCCCTGATCTTTTTTTTTTTTTTTTTTGCCCTGATCTTATTAAATCAGACATTACAACTTATATTGAAAAATATGTTCAGAAAAGTCTGAGAGGGCAAGAGAGAGAGGGAAATGAGAGAATGTGTGTGTGTGTGAAAGTTCAGCCATGATGAAAGTGCAATAGATTCAAAATCAGGAGGGTTGGATTCTAATTTTTAAATTTTTAAAACTTTTATGTCATTTTTAATTTACTTTAACAGATAAAATTATGTGTGTTAGATTTAGAATATCTAAATCTAATATATTACCTCTCAGTTACCATTTTTTGTAGTGAGAACACTTGGCCACCCCCTCTCAGTCCCTTTCTAGATTACAGTACACCAGCACAACCCCTTGTGGTACCATAGCGACAGTTCTCCTGGGGCTTCTCCTGCCAGCTCTGGCCTTAGGCCTGCTCACTTGGCCTCAGTGGCCTCCTTCCTGTTTCTCTTACTGTGAATGGCAGGATTTTGCTTGGGGAATAGATCTCAGCAAGGTTTACTTTTAGATACAAAATTGATACGATATTTAGTATCTAATCTGATGGCACAGACTACACTGTTATCTTTAGGGATGCCATTAATAGAGCTCATGTGAAAACTCAAGTACACTCTATTTACAGGAAATGCATACCTTTATATTGTGAATTTATCAGTGTGCTGTGTTAACCCAAGTGCAAGTTTAATTGCTACCGCAAATTGAAGCACCAAATTGTGATCATAGGCCATAAATTACCAAGGAAATGATCTTAACTTTGGTTCCATTCTGTTTCAGGCTGGTACACTCCTCCAAAGGAAGACGGCTAAATATGTTGACTCTGTGTAGCTGGACCAATGTTGCTTTAAAGAAAACCTTTCCAACATGCAGATGCAAGCTTTGAGTGCCGTGACAACTGCACGGAGACCTTAACTCCTAGATCTTTAGTGGATAACCCGACACTGACACAGCCTTAGTTCCGGCCTTTCCACCTGCTCACTGAGCAGCTTGGCCCCTACTGAATTCTTCCTGACCAATACAGGCACCACCACCCCTTGCCATCTCTTTCTTGAAAAGTGAAATCTTGAAGCAGGCAAGTCAGCATCAGGTCACTGAAGCTGTGATGTCACAGTGACTTCCCTAACATCGAGCCCATGGGTTGCAAGGATTTTCAAAATACTGTTCCATTTAGAGCCAATAAAAGTTTAACTGATGTTCAATGTTGGTTTAGAAAATTTAGGTCTTCTAAATCCAACTTTTCCAGGTCTAAACCATTTTGTGATATTGCCAAAATAATGTCCAGAAACCTGCTCATAAAGTTGTTGAAGTTGGTAATGTTCATGTGAAGTCATGGACTGTCCTGAGCTCTTGTCCTTGTTAGCAGAGGCTCCCGCTCTAGTGCTCATTCCCTTGGGGGTGAGGCTTGTTGGGCTCACTGCTGCTTGTCCATTCAGTGTTTTTCATACAGAGGAGCCACGCAGTGGAGCTGGAAAGTATTTAAAGTCATTTGACCTTTCCATTTATTAACGGGGTGTTGCAATTATTTGTGTAAGCTAATAGACTTATAAATTGACTGTCATAAAGACAGACTCTTTAAGCAAAAGTTACACAAGTTCAAAAACATAATTAATTTGGAGACTTTACAAATTTTTGCTATACAGTCGTTATAACAATGGCCTTTATATTAAAAGTTAATAGGAGCTCTTTGTTAATTCCTTTCTGAAACCTGATCAAATCAAGGTACTCTCCATCTTATTGCCTTACCTGAATCAGTCCTGTTTAGTAATTTTTTTATAAAACCAAGCTCGATAAAAAAAGTTCTAGCAGATAAGCACTTTTAAAAGGACATCCAGAAGCACATTTTTCTGCACGAGCCAGTTAAAAGTTGAAAAGTTTTTCTTATGCATTTGCTTCAAGATTGAGCTCTTACCTTGGTACTCCTGAGACTGGCTTCTGCATTGCTGTGGTGTTTATTCTTGAGGTCTGGTTTTGGTGGAGAGGAGAGCAGGCAGAGGTTTTCTGGCATTCTGCTCACTTGATTGCCAGTCGCTCAGAGAACCAGCGAGGGGGCAGAGTTCTTCAAAGCAATGAAGTTCTCTGAGCCTAAGGCTAAACCTTGACCTCGCTGTGGATGAGGGGCAGCTCTGCAGAACGATGGCTGCACATCTGGCATGCTTTGTTTTTTGGATTTTTTCATTGCAGATTTATTTGGCAATGTACAGTAAATTTTGTAAACTTGCATCAAGTTTATGAATAAAGAACCATTTAAAAGTTGTTTTGTCACCTTTCCCACACCAGAGCTTCTGTGCTTCAGGTCAGTAGGTGCTGCTGGCCTCTGGACTGGGTATGTAAGGAGGGCAGGTGCGGGAGGCTTCGAGGGGAGGTGTTCACACCTGGGGTACGAGCGCTTCCTCCACCCCGCCTTCATCTACACTCCTCAGACTCCTCGGTATACACTCAGCTCCCTAGAAGAACCTTACGTATCCCTGGCCACCTTGTAGGACAGCCCAGGCCCAGCAGCTCAGGATCCTCCACTGCTTGGATCTCCCCACTCCCGCGGCACTTGTGCCCTGAGCGCTGCATCCGGATGCCACCTCCACGGGTGAATAAGGGTCCCCACCCTTTTCCCTCTCGGCTCCCTTTTCCAGGGCCAGCCCCTAAAGCGAGGCCTCGGGAAGAGTGTGAAGCATCAGCACCCGGTGTTTTCTCCGTGATTCCGGGAATCTCGGCCACCCTGACACCCTTTGAGGTTTTTCAGGGTCTTGTTTCCATAATTCTGAAGCATTTCCATTTCCCGTGAAAACAGTACGCTGTCGATGTATACGGCAGTTTACGTGTCTCTAGTGTTTCCTGTGGTGAACGTTGTTACTACGCCGTCCTGCGCAGTCCTTCGTGCCGATGTCACTAGTGTAGAGGGCGATGACCCCGCAGATCCCAGGGCTACTGGCCGGGGCGGAAGTCGATGAGGGGAGAGAGGGTTCCGGTCCTGAGGGTCCAAAACCGGGGCTGGGGCCGAGGCGGCGCCGGAAGAGCAGCAGCCGGAGGCCGGGAGTGGGGGGTGTGTGGCTTGAAAGAGCTAGTGAAAGGACACCCGGCCCCGCCTCCTCCCAGCTCCGCCCCAGACTGGCCGGAAGTGGCGCGCGCGCCTGCGCACTGCGCGCTCAAGGCTTCGCGGCCTCTGGACAACCGGCCGCATTGGCTTCGGGCATGGATCCTCCCGGCGGCTTAGACCTCCCGGGCGCCTTTGTGCTGAGCAACCTGGCGGAGGTGGTGGAGCGCGTGCTCGCTTTCCTGCCCGCCAAGGCGCTCCTACGCGCTGCCGGGTGAGGGTCGGGGGTACCCGGCTCCGGGAGTCTGGGCGGGGACCTCGGGACGGGGTGGCCGGGTCCGCCATCTACGCGCTCAGGCTTCGGCTGTCCCGAGGTCCCCGCCCCTCAGTCCAGCACCTCCCTCTGCGGTGGGGTGCGTGGGGGTGAGTGGGAGGGTGGGGACCCGGACCCGGGGGCGACTTGCCGCCGACCGCGCCCCGCTTCCCCGCAGCGTGAGCCGGCTCTGGAGCGCGTGCGCGCGTCGCGTGCTGCGGGCCCAATGCTCCGTGGCCTGGGTGTCCGCGGGCCGGGCCGAGGCCGCCCCCGACGGGCACCGACTGCTGCGCGCTGTCGCCGAGGAGCTAGAGGCAAGTGGGGCGCGGGCGGGCTCGTGCTTGGGCGGGTTCGTGCTTGTGCGCTCGGTGGACCCTCGTCCCCCTCTGCGTGCAGAGTCGCCCCTCCTCACCTGTTACGACTGCGGTGGACAGTTAACACTGTCGTTCAGGGACTGTTGAGAAAACAGCTTGCATCTGTTCCGTGCAGCTGCAGCGTGGTGGTAGTGCTGTGTGGAATATTTTCCTGGTGGAGGCCTCGATGGGAAGCGCGCACCTAGGCAAGGGCACTGTGCAGGCAGCAGACATCTGCGTTTCCATTCATTCATCTCCAGGTGGAGATGTTCAGGTTCACACAGGTGCATTCGAATTTAATCCAGCATGCAATTCATTCCAGCTTGCTCTCTGCTCCTCTTTGGGCAGGAGAAACCTAGCCCCCCTATTTCTCATGTATTTAGGTAGCAGGTCCGTACACCATCTGCTCCCGTCTCGGATTGGGTTCCTGCTGGCCAGCCGGAACCCAAGGGCAGGTTTGGTGAAAACTTCCTTCTCTGACACTTAGGCCCAAATTCTGCTATTTCCAAAAGCTATCATTTGGAAAAATTCAAAATCCAAGCAAAGACTGCCATGAAAGAGTTCCTTGGAACATCATTTGTAATAATGGAAATTAACAGCTTAATGTTTCAGAAGTGAAGTTATTAAATGATAAACTTAAAGGTGCCTTTAATGACCAATGATAGTGAAAATGCAGATTATGAGATTATGTTTACTATAATCTGGACTATCAAAAATACAAAGGAGGGTGTAATAAGATGAATGTCACCAAAAATTTCCTTTGGGGGAGAGAGCTGTGTGATTTTTTTTTTTTTAACTTTTTAAAAACTGTGATAGTTTTCAATTTTTGGGCACAGCAGATATTTTATAGAGCTTTACAGTTTGTATACCATAGTGCTGTTTCAGCCTGTCTTAGTTGTGGACTGCAGCTTTGGCATATACTGACAGTGTGACTTTGAAAAAGTTCCTTAACCTCTCTGAGCCTCTGGTTCCATCTCCTAAAATTATTCACCTATACCATTATGGATTTGTTAGAAGGGTGAAAATATGGTGCGTGTAGCACATTACCTGTAATACTAGAGATAAGTGCTTTCAGTACATGTCATTACTCTTGTTAATATCATTAGCCTTGAGGAAGTTTTATATATTAAACTACCAGTGAGACAGAAACATGTGAACCCTGTGGAAACCATGCTGTTTTCGTTTTCCATATTACCAAGGGTACAGTCTTTGGATGGCCGTAAACAAAGTTGAGTTAACTTTTTATTAGAACGAAAGACCAAAAAAAAAAAAAAAACTAAAGACCACTAAGCATTTTATGAAACAGCTCTCCATTTGTCTATCCTTTGGGCATGGAATGGTCCTTGCTGTGCTGTGTTGTGCTTTGAGGATTCTCATTTTGAGGTCATCTTTGCTGCTTCTCCTGAGAATTAGTAATGGGAATTCAGCAGTTGCTTTTCAGTCGGTGCCCGAAAGAGAATAATACTATCTCAGCGCTGGACTTAAAATATTTGTTAGTGAATAGGAACCTAAGGCCCAAAAGCCTGGAGGAGTTATTCTGCTGGTCTAGGGCAAATTCTGCATCTAGTCCTGGCCTCTCACAGTTATCTGCTCTCTCTCACCAGGCACTGCACACTGAGGTGTTGAGGTCAGGAGGTGGCTGGCCGGTGGGCCACAGCTTCTGTTCTGATGTTGCCAGAATGTTCTGTTTTTTTCTGCTCCCAGGGATTGAACTCAGGTCCTTGCACTTGCGCAGCAGGCATCGAAACCACTGAGCTAAATCCCTGGCCCTGTTCTGTTTTTTCAAAAGATTCTGGTGGGCCAGGGATTTAGCTCAGTGGTGCCACCGCCTGCTTCTCATTCAAAAGGTGCCAAGTTTGATCCCCAGTACCAAAAAAAATTAAATAAGTAAATTCTGGAAACTCACATTTTATGTAAAAATTTTGGAGAATTAAATTTTGGCAACCAGTTTACTTTTTTTTTTTTTTTAAAGTTATTTAGCCCCAAGAAACTATGTCCTTTCTAACCACCCCAGAGGCCACAAGTCACCAGGCTGTCTCAGTGCCTGTTACAAGTAAGACTGTCTAGAATTGACTCTGAAACATACCAACACTGCCCAAGTTAGAATGGAGCAACATTTCTCATCTAACCCACGCAAGGCATTTCCATGCCAAGCACTCTGTGCCATTGCGACAGTGGGGACAGTGTCCCCATCCCTTTGTGTTACCTGGCCTCTGTGGCCCTTGTCTGTTAACATGAAGTTGAGGGGAAACTGATGTCTGTGACCCCACTCCGAGGGGAATAGGGCACCGATGGGAATGACTGAGCTCTAAAGATGGCAGGGACACGGTCCCAGCAATGCAGGAGCAGATGTTGGAGAGGAAGTGTCTATAAGCTGGACAGGAGGAAAGCAGAGCAGTAGGGGACCTGTGGAAGTGGGGATTTCCACTACCAGTAAGCTGAGGGGCCCAAGGAGAAGCCAGTGGATGAGGGCGGAAGTAAAGGATTGGGGGGCAGTGAGGAGAGGGGCGACACAGCCCGGTTCTGCACCTTCCCAGGGGTGAGTGTTCTGTAACCATGGTATTTATTTAAGTAAGACAAGTGGCACCTTTTGCTGGTACTTCCTGATTTTGTTCTAAGCTTAAATTATCCTGATGAAAATGAGTGTTTCAAGGGCTGGGATGGGCTGAACTTGAAGGAAGAATGGGTTTCCATGTGTAAGTGGGAAACACTCGGCCCAAGTGTAGATTTGAAGTGTTGGTCTCAGATGCCAGCACTGATGGAAGGAAGGTAGGCGGCAGCCTCTGAGCCAGGTAATTAGGGGACCCTGTGATTCGTGGCATCCGATGCTGATTGTTTTCATTGCAGAATGTCCGCATCTTACCAAGGATGGTTCTGTATATGGCTGATTCAGAAACGTTTGTTTGTCAGGAGCAGCGTCGGGGCCATGTGAAATGTAAGTATAAAAAAAGATTTTGGTTTTTTCCCCATTTCCTTCTGTCTCTTCAAGTTGTATATCACCTGGTCCTGGAGTCGCTGATTCCTGAGGTTCCTGACCAGGGTTGTTGTGTGTGTGAGAGTCTCTGAACCTCAAGGAGCCTTGAGTACTTCAGGCAATCTCTAACCTCACAGTACAATTCACTGAAAATACTGTAGTCCTCTAGGCACTGCTTTTTACTCTTCCAGCTGAATGTATGACTTGAGCTATTCCAGCCTCTTAGTGCTGTGTTGTGGGGTTCCGTTTCCCAAATAACTGATGGTTATTTGGGAAATTTGCCCCTTTGTTTCCATTGTCAGATCTGACCTTAAGTGGATGAATTTAGTAATTTTGCTACTATGTTATTACAGCAAGGAAAAGAATGAGCATGGAAACAGCAGTTGCCCTTGAGAAACTGTTCCCGAAACAGTGCCAAGTCCTCGGGATTGTGACCCCAGGAATTGTAGGTGAGAGAAATCAGCAATTTGATCATATCCTCCTTGCTTTAATGTGGGTCCTGTAGTTCGGTGAGTTATTTGTAGCTGAGAAGCACATTTATTTTTCTGGTCATTGGCACAGTGTAACACTTGACTTCCTGAGTGTGAAGTTGTTGTGTTTGGGATTTCAAATCTCTGGGATTTCAAATCTCTGGGATTTCTGTGTGAAGCAGATGTGGTGCCTCTCACTCCAGCAGCTGTTCTGGGGAGGAGAAGCTTTTATTCTGCCTCTCCATACTGGGAAGGATTTGTGGCATTTTGAGGGTCCTGTCTGTGACTAGTGGGTAGGGTGGTGTGGCCTGGGTCTGTGAGCTAAGATGGGCCTTGCTGGGATCTGTAGCTTGCACGCTACCAGTTTAAGATTGTCCTCTCTGCATGTTTGGCTGCTGGTAAAATTCCTGCTGCTGCTGCTATTATTTTTGATTCTTCTCTGTAGGTGACAGATGGGGAGCACGTATGTGGAGGTGGTAGTGGTAAGGTGGTGCAGGTGCACATGCTTGGCCTGGGAGTCAGGGCTGCACCCTTGTGATGGGTAGTTCCTGGCTGCTGTGGACTCCGTCTCCTCATCTCTTGGGGAGTTAATGAGTGACTCGTGGAGAGCACGCAGAGGCCAGTCAGCAGATGGAAGCTGTTACTGTTTTCTTTGTTCGAACTCTAGTACCCTAATCTCCTGATCAGCATTTTAATCTTCACTGAAAAGTTTTTTGGGGTGGGGACTGGGGTCACATCCAGGGCCTTGCACAGGCTGGTGAACGCTCAGCAAGTGTCTGTCCTTGAAAGACTTGTTATGACTCTGAGTGATGGATGGTGAGGCAGAGGACTCCAAGCCCCGCAGGCAGGTGAACAGGGACAGATGTTAACTTGGTAGGGACGGCTTCCTCCCCTGACATCGGCTTCGCACTGCTTATATGGTTCACTTCTCATTGAATTAAGAAAATGATAGCAGTGACCATGGTTTTTTTCAAACCTTTTAATTGTCCTTAAATGATTGGTCTCATTTTCCCATTGCTAGTTTCCCACAAATACTTATAGGGGACTCTAGCCTTTCTTCCTGATGTCCCTTTCTTGTCTCCTCTGCACTGTGGCTGGAGGAGCTGTCGCTTCCCCAAACATGGCCTGATTTCCCCTTTGGAAACTCTGCTGGAGAGATGGAGGCGGGGCACTGAATGACCCCACTGTGGGAGGATGGGATTCTTCATCTGAGCCTCCTTCGTCCTTGCCTGACTGTGGAGTGGTTTTGGCTTTGTGCCTCTGTCCCCGTCCTCTCGCATGCTCTTGATGTCACCCCAGGCAGGTGGCCTTTGGTGTTGTCTTGGCCCCTCCTCAGCTTTCTGTTTCTGGCCTTCTCTGAGCCCATTCCATGGAGCCTGGGCAGAACTTCCCTGAGATCATCCTCCTAGTTTGTTTTTCTCAGGTCTCAGCATTGTGATTGTTTTTCTAAAACAACCATTCACTCCTAGTCCATCTTTAGGTTCGAAAAATTTCAAGTTTGAGGAAATCTGTTCATTTTTACAGGTTCCGATGTCAGTTTTCTTAGTTGAGATAAATTTGACCTACAGTTGAATTCGCCTTTTTAGTATAAAATGTCCTGAGTGTTGACAGATTTGTATCCGATGCAGATTGTTGCCATCACCCAGAGAGTTCTTGCCTGCTTCAGTCCTGGTAATCCATGCTTTTAAAAAGCCCTGTTCTGATTCAGAAACCACAGAGTAGGTGCCTGTTGCTGAATGTCACATAAATGGACATGGTCTCTTCTGGTGCCTGGGCTCTTTGACTCCTCAGTATAAATGTTTTTAACATGTGTTTGACAAATTCATTTAAATTATGTGTATCAGTGACCCATTTAAAAACCATTCTTGGGTTGTATTTTATTATAGAAGTAGACTTTTTTTTTTTTTTTTTTTCTGGTACTGGGGATTGAACTCAGAACCTTGTACTTGTGAGGCAGTCATGGTGCCACTGAGCTAAATCCCCAGCCCACCTTGTCATTCTTTTTTGACGGACCTCGTGGTGTTTCCAGTTCCTCGGTATTAAGAACAAAGCTGTGAGGAACATTCTCCTCTGTGGAAGTTTTTATTAGTTCTTAGGCAGTCACCAAGGAGCAGAATTGCCTGGTTTCATTGTTGATGTATCGTTAACTCAAACTACCAGTTTCTAAAGTTGCACCATTTCACCCTCAACCAGCTGTGTGGGAGGGCTGCACCTGCTCCGTGTCTGGACACTAGTGTTGTTGCTTTTCCTAATTGAGTAGTTTTAGTTTGAATTTCCCTACTGACTGATGATGTTGAACAGCTTTTCATGTATTTATTAGCTATCTGTGAAATGTCTGAGTCTTTTACTAACTTTTAAATTACAATGCTTGTTTACTGCTGAGTAGCAGGTGGCTTTGTATTTTTATAGGTGTCTTAATGGGTGGAGGTTTATTTTCTCTTGGTCTATGGGTTGTTTTTAACTTTAACAGTGTCTTTATGATCAGAAACCTTTAATTAATTAATTTATTTATTTATTTTGGTGCCAGGGATAGAACTTGGGACCTTCCACTTTCAAGGCAGGCGGTGGCACCACTGAGCTAAATCCCCAGCCCCTCAGAAACCTTTTTTTTAGAGAAATTAAATTTATCAGTTTTTTTCTATTACGGTTAATTTTTTTTTTTTTTTTTTTGGTACCCAGCTAAATCCCCAGCCCTGCGGTTAATATTTTTATGTCTTCTGTAAGAAATCTTTGCACACCCCAAGGTCACAAGGTTCTTAGTCTTCTAGGAACTGTGTGGTCTGAGCTTTTACTTGAATTAACTTGTGCGTGTCTATAAGGTAGGAGTCTGAGGACAATTTTTTCCATACATTTGCTTAGTTATTCCATGGCCATTTGTTGAAGATTTCTTTCCTCATTAAAATGTCTTGTCAGTTTTATAAGAAATAATTGCGTGTTTGTGAGTCTGATTTTGGATATTATTCTATTTGTCTCATTTATGCTAGACCATATTATCTTGGATTACTGTAGATCTTGATTTTTTTTTAAGATTTGTTAGGCTATTTGCATCTTTTGCATTTGCACATATATTTAACTTGTCAATTTCTATGAGAAAGTCTTATAATTTTAATTCAGATTGTCTTGCAGCCTGATAACACACATTTTTCAAATTATTTTTATGTTTTGATATTTTTTTGTGGGAAAAAGGGCCTTATCATCTGAATTTTATTTCTGTCTCTAAATTCAGAATATATTATGTGGCATTTGGTTTGACCTCAATATTACTTTTTATTTTGCCCTAGTTTTGTTTTCTAAAAAGCCAAATACATATATATTTTTCTCCAGTACCAGGAATCAAACTCAGGACCTTGTGCTTGCCAAGCAGGTCCGGCACCACTGAGCTAAATCCCTGGCCCCCAAATACGTATTTTTTACAAAGGTAATTTTCGTGTTACACAGCAAGTATACTTAAAACCAGTTCCGTTCAGGGGGGATGTTTGTAAGTTAAGATTCATTGTAAGTCCAACAAAGTGAGTCTTATACACCTTTGATACAGATACACAATGTAAAATGTAAAAAAACAAAGACACACAAATACTGTGAACAAACTGTTTTTACTCTTACAGTTACCTTTAAATGACAGTACAGTACAGTATTAGACCTGGCATATGTGGAGTTGTATGGAATGAAGTGATGAGAGTTACTAACTGGAGGAGGAGGAGAGGTGGGAGATGGTGAAGCGGAAGGATCATCAGCAATAGGAGATGGAGGGCAAGATGGAATTTCGCTTCCACCTGATGTTGACACAGGTTTTTTGATGGATTCAATTGTCCACCCTCTTAGAAATGGTCTTAGAAGTGGTCCAGTGATGTTTGTGTAGTAGCTCTTTTTTTTCTCATGATGGCTGACTGTAGCACTGGATGGCATTCTGAATGGCTGCTGCAACCTTTGTGTTTTGTTCTACATTGGGGTCCTGTGCCTCAAAAACTTAACAGGGCCTCTTCAAGTAAAGAAAGTCCCTTTGCCATTTCCTGTGATATGATATTCTTTGGTTCTTCAATCACATCTTCCTCTTGGCTGTCTTTTCACTGCGCCTCTTAATTCCATCAGGTCCTCAGTAGTATGCACATACCAAAAAAGTCAATTTTCTTATATAATAATTTTTAATACAAATTTTGACAAACTAGCTATAACAACTCAAAATAATGTATTGCCTCCCAGACCCTGCACTTGTCCTTGCAAATTTAGCCTTTTTCTGGGCTAGCAATTATTTTTACTTCAATTTCCATGGTTATTGCTTTGTGCATCCTATCAGTCCCCTCCACATCCTGGGCTCTGATTGAGCACTGTACTACTGTACACTATCACCCTGTACAGTAAGCACACAGCAGCACAACTGGGACTGTGTCCGGCAGACATGTGGGCTACTTTTGTGATTTCTTTGCATCTACACATGTTCGTAAGGTGAGGTCCATTGGTATCTGTGAAAGTTTGCAGCTTGAATGTTTGTAAGTTGGGGACTTACTGTACTAGTAATGATCATTTATTATTAAATAAGAAAAAAATTAGAAAATACAGGTAAGCAAAAAAAAAAAAAGACTTAACCAACGCAAGTTAACCACTCTGTGTTAACATTATGGTGTTAGTGTTTCTGTATGCTGTGTAAACCAGGATGTGACCCAACTGTTGGGCTGCTATCACAAGGGTGCACACCCACCGACACTTCCTCAATCAGTGTGGAGGTGTAAGTCCAGGACCAGCCCAGGTTTCTCCTGAGGCTGCACACAGCCTTTCCTGTGTCCTCGAGCAGCCCTTTCTGTCCACAGGTGCCATCTGTGTACCTGCACCTCCTCTTCTTACAAGGACACCGGTCCCTTGAGTGAAGGCCCACCCTGTGGCCTCATTTAATCTTAACTCTGCAAAAGCCTTCTCTCCAATGGGGGCGTGGGGGCTCAAACTATGAATTTGAGGGGTTGAGGACCACAAGATTCAGCCTGTAACATCTGGCTTGACAATTCATAGCATGTGATAAACATTTCCATGTCAGATAAACATGCGTCTTATGTCTCCATGCCTGCCTTCTGTAATAGCAATGTAACTTTCCATGTAAAGGGCAGGGTAGGAGATTTAGGTTTTTTCCTTTTTATTTTTTATTAGAATTCTATGATAAACATAGCTGTGCATATACACACCTTGTATAATTATCAGATATTTCTAGGATAAATTTTTTAAAGTGGAGTTGCTGTGAAAATGCATCCTCTCAATGTTTTGAAAAGCTTCAAGCCATGGAAAGGTTGAAGGATACTAGACTAGGAAACATCCTGCCGTTTTCATCTGAGGTCAGTGATTGTAAAAGTTCCACATTTGCTTTTCCTTCTGCTTATTCCCTTCTCTTTCCTGCATTCTGAAGCACTTGGAAGGAAGTTGCAGGCCTTATGACAGCCACCCTAACAATGCCAGCGCAGAAGAAACCTTGTGCGTGGCTGTTTGGTGTGGTCATTGTATAGAGACCTAAACTGCAGTTATCTAGGGTGGGATTGGTTAATTTATACCATTGCCTAATTCAGTTTTTATTGTCTGTTCACAAAATTGTTTTGTTTTGTTTTTTCCTAGTGACTCCAATGGGATCAGGTAGCAATCAACCTCAGGAAATAGAAATTGGAGAATCTGGTTTTGCTCTGTTATTTCCTCAAATTGAAGGAATAAAAATACAGCCCTTTCATTTTATTAAGCAACCAAAGAAGTTAACACTGGAAAAACATCAGCTTACTGAAGTGGGTAAGTTACTGTTACTTGTCATTAATTGTGCATTTTGTTCACTAATCTTTCTGTTTCAGTTCTGGAAATGGTGGGTGTTAGGCTACTTGGGAGGACTCTGAATTAAGTCTGCCTGTGCCTGGGACGTTGCTCATCAAGCTGGTGATTAGCAAAGGCTAGGTCCATGCATTTTTGCCTTAAAGCCCCAGAGGACCAGAGATGAAAAATTTTCCATAAATACTCTGTTGATAATAAATTTGTTTGTATTCTGAATTTTGAAGGAATTATTGTTCTTTGAATAGTTTCTTGTTTTGTTTTCTAAAACTGAAGTGTTTTTTCAGACATTTTTTTTTTTAGGTAATCATTTATTTAAAACTGTTTTCGAAGAAACCAGTTGGTAGTAAGGACTAGGAAGATGGGAAGAGGCACGGCAGTCTTACAGTGTTAGGAAAGGTGTGAGCAGTCAAGCTGGTATCGTGTGCAGACACGTGAGACAGTGTGACTGAAGGAGGCATCGTGGAAGGTGGGGGTTGCACAGTGGTGTTGGAGGGACACGTGTACTGAAGTAAGTCCAAGAGAGCTGCTGGAGCACAGCAGGGTTACATTTTTTTTTTTAATGCTCAAGATAAATTCCAAAGGTTTATTGCACCAAATGCCTCAGAAAATGGATCAAAATAATACATGAACACATTTTAAGAAAAGTTTCCCAGGGCCAGGGATTTAGCTCAGTGGTTACGCTGCCTGTCTTGCAAGCGCAAGGACCTGAGTTCTCTCCTGGGTACTAAAAAAAAAAAGAAAAGTTTCCCATACATTGACATTGGTATCTATTCAATTGATCAAAAAATAGAAAGTCCCTATCAATTTCTCTTAATAGTAATTTCTCTTAATAGCTTTAATAGTAACAAATCTCAGAATTTTCTGTTTTTAGCCACCACTGAAAATTAAGCATACTGTAATCTCACTTCCCAAATACATGGCTCACCAAAGTCTGACATTTAAAAATTAACAGTGGGCTGTTTGATATAGACAAAAATTATATTAAAATATCCTGTCTCCTCAAGCACATTAAAAACCAAATGGTTCGCCTTAACTCAGAGAAGCTCAAGATGTGTCTAATTTAATGGCTAAAGTATGCATGGACAGAATACTCCCCACACTACATCATTAGTGGAAAACCCAGACAGTTAAAAGAATTTGGGTGTCACTTTATATTCTTTATGCACAACCAACTTTAGTTAGTGAAGAACCTAGAAAGCTACAGGCTGTCCTTTCATAAAATCTGAGGACCTATTATAAGAGCCCAGACAACAGTTTAGTGTCATTTAACAAGTGGGGAATTTCCTCCCTCCAAAAACGTTAATTCTGATAAATATGGTTAAGTTTAAATCGTCACAATGTGTAAACAGCAGTTCCATGGGATATGAAAAGATTATAGTTACTTTCATTAAAACAGCACATTTCAGAAAAATGGATTGAAGCCTGTACAAAAAGCATTAACACTGATAAAAATAAAATACTTTAGAATTACTCACAAGTATGAAAGCTACATTTTAAATTTTCATTGTCGTGTTTAAAACACACAGAGTTACCTTTACATAAATATCACTTATCAGCTTGTTAAAAATAAAACTGCAACACACTAGGAGTGGTCCATCAAAGTAACACTGACGTACTTCTGCTCCAGCAGGGTTACTTTCTCTGACAGCCTCCAGGCTCCCCTGGGCCTGGGGAGGTAGCACAGCTGAACTTCTGACTGAGGGGCCGTGTCCCAGTGGGAATACAGGATCAGGCAGCAGCACAGGGAAAATCTGGTTTATTGATCAGGAAACACAGGAGTGTCCACATGAGTCTAGATTTTAACTGTGCTTGACAGTGCAGAACAAAGTGTGGCTGCAGAGGGGGAGGGACAGTGGTGATGGAGTGGGAACAGCGGCCCCTGGGTCACATGGGAGAGGGAGGAGTATGTGGGAAACGTAAGCAGGGGCTTTGGGTGGTGGGTCAGGATCCTATGAGAATGCAGGGGTGCAGGGCAGGTTTCCTAAGTTCCCTTGACCCGTTTCCTCCTCTGTAAGGTGAAAGCGACCTGCAGAGCTGTGTACCAAGCACTGAGTGAACAGCTCACCGGGGAGAAGAGGGGACTGGAGGAAATCAGCAGATGGTTAGTGCTTTGGCGGGGTGCAACAGCCTGGCTCTGGGGTTTGCCCAGGAGATGTGAGCCAAGGTGTGGGGTGGGAGCATCAGGGCTGGGAGGAAAAATTGGGGCTTGTTCTGGCTTTTGCCAAAGGCAGTGAGGCTGTCGCTGTGTCTAGAGAGGTGATGGGGCTCCCAGGGCAGCTCCTTCCTCTGTCTCTCAGGTGGTGACACACAAGAAGGTTCTAAAAGGTTTGCTTTTGGTCAGCTTGGAAGAAAGAACCAATACCTGGAGCTGAAGAACGTATCCATTCTGTGATGAAATTGTTACTTTGTTAGGCCCTGTTTGCATTTTGGTACCAAGTATGAGTGTGCCGACACGGACGGAAAACAGCCCAGATCTTTAAGATGATTGCGGCATGTGCCTGCAGCATGTGATGACTGCATGCCTCCTGGGGACTGGCACACATGCATAGTGTGTCTTGGTCATTTTTACTGCTTCTACCCCCACTCTCTTCTCCCTTTTCCCAGATCCTCTTCTCATGGCCACAAAGTGTACCTCTGTTTCCTGCTATCTTTTACTTTGTGCTTTACATTATTTTCTTGGGTTTTTCTTTTTTTTTTTTAATCAATTTTTAAAATAAATTTTATCCCATTCCCCCCAAGCCTCCTCCCCTCCCTATGTACAAAAGCTTTGTTTCCATTTTTCCTTCTGTTTTCACTTTTTTCCTGTCCCTTCCGTCCTTTCTCCCTCCCTCCATCATTATTCTCCTTCCCATTTGAATACTTTCTTCCCATTTCCCAGCATCCGTTATACATTTCAGTCCTGGTTTGGGTTTCTCATATAAGAGAAACCGTGTGATGTTTACCCTTCCGTGTTTGATTTATTTAACAACACTGTGGTCTCGAGGTGCATCCCACACTTACCCTTTATCGCAGAGAAGTACTCTGTTATTTTCTTTATTTATTTATCCGTTGATAGACATTGGTGGCTTGCATAATGTAGCCTTTGTGAGTTGTGCTGCTGGAAACATGGTAAACCCTGGTTTGTCTAGGGCCCGGCTTTCCTATAGTGCCCTTTTTTGAGTTGTTGCCATCAGCAGCTTGGGCTTATTCTGAAGTGTTGCTAGATGATAATCTCATCTTCATGAACTGCTTTGCATCCTAATGTTATGTATTTCTTAATGTAGATTTCGCTGGTGTTTGGATGCAGGATGTGCATGCCCTGCAGTCCTAGCCTGCATCTTGATGCAGGGGTGAAGGTGAGGTCCCTGCTTATGTTCTGTAACAGTGAGATTCCGATCATGTTAGGGTCCCTTGGGGGCTGGTGCAGGTTCTTCTTGCAGGCCAAAGTGTGAATATGTTGTTTTGCCAGTCCCATAGCCTTAGTGGCCTGTCAGCTCTGCTGTTGGGGGCGCAGGTACAGCTGTAGACTGCAGAGAGGGGTGGCTGAGCTGCAGAAGGACAGGAGGTTGGTCGAGTTTGGCTCCTCTGCCTGACAGTGCTTACCACAGTGACTAAGATCTGGTATGAAAAGTTCACAGTGAGCAAAAAGCAGGGCCATATTCTGACAGAATTGTCAGTCGTGCTGAGAGGAGGCCTTGTGTCGGATGACGATGTTTGCTGGGTAGACCTTGGGTGTAGCAGCTGATCCAGTATCAGCCCATACACTTTCACACATACACTGTTTTATATTCTTACCAAATTTTATATTCTTACCAAATTCTTACCAAATCTTACCAAATTGTTAAGGAGTAGAAGCAAAAATACCTCAGTCAAGTTTCATAAAAAGCCATTCATTCACTGAAAACCTATTTGTATGCACACTGTGTGCAGGCAACTGTGGTGACTGCCCTGCCCCTGGGCCTCCTGGTCAGCAGCGCAGAGGACTAGGTGAGCCACCAGGAGAGGCATGTAACCAGGGTTCATCCAGTCTGGAGTGCCAGGAAGGTGATAGCTGACAGCCCAAGGAGGTGTGTGCACAAGCCTCAGGCAGGTAGGGTATTGTAGGCGTCTTCATCTTCCCTCTAGGTTGCTGACAGAGAAGCAGCAGGAAGTTGAGAGCTCAGGACAGGAAGGAGAAAACCTGTCACCTCCTCTGAGGTGTAAAGCCGGAGTTCCCCCAGCACAGCCAGGAAACATAAACACTGGTGTATGGGGGAGCAGGGACAGAGACTCAGGCAATGAAGTGGCAGGGGCTGGGTGGGCTGTGGAGACCACGAGGAACAAGGGCAGTAAGACCAGGAGTCTCCATGCACCAGGGCCATGATTGAGTGGGTCTCTGACTGTAGTGTGGTGACTGGGTGCAGAAACAGCTCTGCTTAGCCATGTATTTCAGAATATCAATGTGTACTTCAGTAGTGTACACATATTTTTAAAATGCTGTTTGCAATGAATAGTTGTAATCTTGTCAATTAAAATAAGTTTAACTTTATAAAAGTAGATGCAGGGAACTGGAAGCTGTGGTAATTCAGGCAAGAGACAGCAGTTTGGGCTGGGGTAGCAGGTGGCGCTGAGGAGCCTTGGTGAGTCAAGATAACATGTGGAGATGCATGGGGTGGCATTGTGGCTGAGGGCTAGATGTGGAGAACGAGGTGGGTGGTAACAGTGTCACCAACTTCCCAGTGGGTGAGCTGCACAGTACCATTTGCTGACAAGAAAGATTCGTCTGTGTCTGGGTGCATTGGGTTTGAGATGGAGGAGGAGACCATGAGTATCTGGGCCTGGAGCTCCAGAAAGCGACCTCAATCCAAGATGCCAACATGGAGACTGTTGAGAAACAGAGCAGCTGCCTGCATGGCAGTGCGTGTTGGCTGTCCTGGGCTGGTACTGAGTTACAGCCCTGTCGCTCTTTCCCTTGTGCTACATGGAGGACCTGAGACTGCCCACCCGGGAGGCTCCCGAGGCATTTCCTGGCTTTCTTTGGAATAGCACGGCCTGTTCCTGGCCTGTCACTTCTGGGATTGGCAGTCATGTTTGTAAAATAAAGACTATTTTATCCGTGGCCCTATTCCATTCTGAAGATTGGTTCTAAAGAAAAAAAACTGTTCTGTCAGAACCAGCAAGGTTAGCACAGAAGAGGAAGACACTTTCCGCAGTGGCCAGGGTCCCTCATGCTGATTGGTGTCAGCCATTGGTCCCTCACCTCACCCATGCATCCCGTTTCCTGCCCTCACCTCCCTCTTCGCTCTGTTAGGAAGGAAGTAGCTGATCTGAGAAAGCAGAAGTGGGGTTTGGAGTTGGTTTCCTTCCTGTCCAGAAGCCACTGGTTTGATGATGCTGGCAGATTTCAAGTCCATGTTCTGTAAGCAGAGTGCCAGAGGTTCGGGGCAAGGCCTGCTGCAGGTGAAGCTGCCTCGTTGGGCCCTACCATCCCCGCTGCCAGCTACAGCTCAGAACACAGCTGCTTCCATACTGTGATGTGGTGATTGTATTGTTTTCCAGTAGTCATTTAAGGTTTTTTATTTGGCAAGTGTACTGGAAATTGAACCTGGACCTCTGCACTGAGCTACATCTCCAGCCCCCCTTGCTAAAATTTTGAGACATATTCTTGCTAAATCACTGAAGTTGCCCAGGCTGGGCTCAAACTTGTGATCTGCCTCCTCCAGCCTTCCAAAGTGCTGGGGTTACATGCATGTGCTTTTTTTTAATAGAAAAATTTTAATTGCAGCTAAGATTTTGAATAGTATTAGTTTATAAAAATGGGAAAATTGCACTTTACTATCACTGCCAGGCATCAGCAGTAACATTTTAAGAGTCTCTTTAATTGTTGCTCTTTGCCTCTCTGCAGGTCTTCTAGATAACCCGGAACTGCGTGTAGTCCTTGTGTTTGGCTATAACTGCTGTAAGGTGGGAGCCAGCAGTTACTTGCAGCGTGTGGTCAGCACTTTCAGCGACATGAACATCATCTTGGCTGGAGGCCAGGTGGACAGTCTGTTGTCATTGACCTCTGAGAAGTATGTTTGTGCCTCAGACAAGGGAAATAGTTGCAGATTTTCATTACTTTGGGTTAAGACTGTGTTTAAAGAATTGCTAATATACTACCTTCTCTTGCACTAGACATAGGTTAAAGGGCTTAACGTAATTCTGCTTACAGTCGAAGAATTACATTTATACATATTGTCCTTTAAGAATTTTTTCTTAGACTCATGCTCTTAACATTGGCTTTCAGCATTGCTTATTGAACTTTCTAGGGACGGCTCTAGTATCTGTGTGACCTTAGTATGTCAACTCTGCAAACCAAGAAATCATAAATGAAGTTACAGTGAAAGCATAGTACAGTTTTTATTAGAGTACAGAATGGATTTGAAAATCAAGAGCCAAGGTTCACACAGAAACCAAGTCAAGTGTTCTGTTGAGGAGGCATGGGTTGTTAGGGAACAGTGTAGAAGGTGAAGCAGCTTGTTCTCAACAGTGTTTGGTTGACCCAGTTGATCCTGGTGCCTGTCCCTGAGTCAAGCTATATGTGATGGAGGCTATTTGAGGCGGTTGTCAGTGAGCAGGGAGCCTTTGCCATGGCCAGCAAGTGCACAGAAGTCCCACAGCTGGAAAATAGTCCCAGTCTAGTTCTTTGAAAACCAGGTTAGAAATTGAGGATCTTGGATCTGAGAGGAAGACTTCAGCTTCCCAGGGGTTACCTGAGACGCATAAAGAAATTCTGCTCTCTTGACCAGACTGCAGTGACTCCTGTATTTCCTTTTTACCTGTTTCTTCTTTAAAGGAAGTATGTGGTTAAAGTGTATCTTTATGGGAAAACTCTCAGCTGTTCATGGTCAATGCAGTGGGATCAAAATCACCTATGGCATTTCTCCACTGTGGTCACAAAACCTTTTTATGAAGCATCTTGCAGGTACTATACTGGCACATTTTTAGAAATTCTGTACTAGATCTTTTGAGAAGCTTTTTTTAAGCTCAGAAATTATGGATCTTTGGTTTTTGTTGTTAAAGTTTTTGCTTTCCATGATAACAGTATGTCTTCTATCTTAAGCCACTGCTCACCCCCCCATCCCTCAATTTGCAGTGCTGAGTCCCTTTCCATCTTACATAAAAATACATCAGTCTCCAAAAGCAAGAAAGCGAACCCCTACCCTACCCCACCCCTCCTATAAATACTAGTACCAGCTCCTCTCTGGATGTGTTTAGGATTTGGGGAAGATGTCAGGATCAGTGTTGAGAGATCTCTCTTGGCAGTCTGCATTGATGACCAAGGAAGCAGTCAGTAAGACATGGTGCCTGGATTGCCAGTGAGGAAGAAGGGAGGACAGCCAGGCAGTGGGGTGGCAGACACTGGGTCTCACACAGGCCTAGGCTCATGACTGTATACGGAGAGTGAGGTGATGATTTCTCACTCAGACAAGTCTGAGATGCCAGCCTATTTGGTATCACCCACTTTGTATACCTAATATGGAAAAATAGATCCCCTAAAATCATCACACTTTACACAACACATTGGGATCTCATACCATGTTAGTATATGCCATTGAATCAATCCCTGCTGGATTTTAATGTCCAGATAACCCCACCCCAAAAAAGATAACTCTTTGAAACAAAAGATTGACAACTTGGAGGTTTTTCTTGATGTTTGGGGCAGAGGGTAACTAGGAATTGAACCCAGGGAAGTCACACTGAGCTACATCTGTAGCCCTTTTATTCTGAGACAGGGTCTTGGAAAGTCACTAAGTTGCCCAGGCTGGATGTCAACTGGAGATCCTTACACCTCAGTTTCCCAGAGTGCTGGGATTACAGGTGTGTACACAACACCCTGCTTAACAACTTGTATCTACCAAGAGATGAGAGGTCATAAAGTTAAGAGAGGACTTTAGAAAATGAAATTCTGCTGCTCTACAGTTGGCTTTGCCACTGGCTATTCTTGTTTCCTTAGTTAACCTTTTTTGAGTCTCAAGTTTCTGCTAATGTAGCCACTGTATAGATTCAGATGTTGAGAAACATGATAGAAATACAAGGTATTTGCTTGTTTCTCCCCCAGTGGGTGTTTCATGTACTGTATATGCTTTACAACTGTGACTAAAAGTATATTATTAAAATTTTAAAAACCAGGTCAGTACAACAATAATCTGCTTGTTCATCTGGTCTTTCTAAAGCAGTGAACAAGACAAAAAGCAATGTAATCGTATTTGTTATGGGCCAAACAACATAAAACCTCCAGAAGTTTTAGAAATTATCCTCTTTCAGAATTTGATAATTATCCTCTTTCAGATTTGATAGGGGAAGACCCCACATTGTAAATTTAAGAAGCTTCATTAAGTAGACAACTTTGTGTATATGAATAAAACTGTAAGGTTCCTTTTAAGAAAGAAAAGCTATTCTTTCTAGTAGAAGTCTTTGTGAATGTGCATGGCCCCTTTGTGTTTGTGGTTGCAAATGAGTTGTCTTAAGCTGCCTTCTTCATGCCTTAAATGTATTTAGTTTTTTGGGGGGTTTTTTTGTACTGAGGATTGAACTTGAGTCCTTGCGCTTGCGCAGCAGGTGGCGAAACCACTGAACTAAATCCCCGGCCCTGTATTTAGTTTTTTAACCCTGCAACTTTCCTCTTATCTAAGCACAGGCTAACTGGGCAGCAGCTCCCCCAGCAGTGAATCAAGTGGGTTTTTCTTTGATATTTTATGTTTTTTTGTTTCATGATTAATTGCTACTTTTCTAATTTATTTTCTAGGGCTCCTCTAGATATCAATGCCACCGGCGTGGTTGGACTGTCCTTCAGTGGGCTTCGAATCCAGAGTGCCACAGTGCTCCTTAATGAGGACGTCAATGATGAGAAGACCGCAGAGGCAGCCATGCAGCGCCTCAAGGCAGCCAACATCCCAGAGCAGGACACCATCGGCTTCATGTTCGCGTGTGTTGGCCGGGGCTTCCACTACTACCGAGCTAAAGCCAATGTTGAGGCTGATGCATTTAGAAAGTTTTTTCCTAGTGTGCCTTTATTCGGCTTCTTTGGAAATGGAGAAATTGGATGTGACCGGATAGTTACAGGGAACTTTATTCTGAGGAAGTGTAATGAGGTAAAGGATGAGGATTTGTTCCACAGCTATACAACAATAATGGCCCTCATTCACCTGGGGTCATCTAAATAAAGTGGCTTGCACAGCACATAACTTTGGGTTCTGGCTTTTCCAGAAAATGGAACCTTGGGATATGTGTATTTGAAAGAAAAATAACTTCAGGTATATCTATTTTCTTCAGTTTTGAATGACACACTGAGGTCACTCTGAGGTAATTTTTAACATATAACACGAAGCATAACTTTGTACACAACATAACACACCAAGAATCCTGCCTCAGGAACAAACAAATCTTTGTGGTTACGTTGCACCAGATTACGTAGCTGATGTAAAGTGACTTTAAATGGTGGCAGCTGGAGAATTGCTTTCCACATCTACCTCTTTATATTGGTAGGTGATCTGTTAGCAAAATCATGAAGACTTTTTTTCCCCTTCAGTAAAGGAGGAAAAGCCATAGATAGCTGAAAGATTTTTCTCTGCTGTATTTCAGTTTCACCAGGTTTTTTCAGAAGTTGTAACAATATTACTGACTTATTTGATCGAAATTAAAGAAATGTTTTTGTTTTGGTGCTCAGATAAACTGCCAAGACTAGATTTTAAGAAGTAAAGTATTTTCATTTTTTTCTCTCATTATAGAAATTTTTTCGTATAGCTCTATATAACTAATTGGAAGACCAAAAAATTACCTTATTTTGGCTTATGCCAATAAAATATACATTTGGAATTCATTCAAATGGCATTTTGCATCTCATTGCTTTTGGTAAGTACATGAAGGATGTGAACTCAATTTGTAGATGAAACTTGGAATGGTAGGTAACTGTCAACTGCGCAATCCTGTCACACTCTGTAAAATGATTTTGAAGTTTGAATATCTGTTTACACAAATATTTAGATGAGAGGTGTGCAGAGAGAACTAGTTTTCCTCAGTATCCAGTCTTAACATTTTCACATGGTGATTCAACTTCTGATTTTTAGTTAGGCACATATCTCCCAGGACAAAGACCATATTTCTCAGTCCCCCTTATACATGGCGTGACCATTTTTTGCCTGCTCTCCATCTTGTTGCTTGGTGGGTTAGTCTGGCTGTACACAGCTTGGATGCTGCAGAGGCAGGTGAAAAACAGGACCCAAGTCCCTGCACATCTGTGGGAGCCCTTCCATGGTGGCCCTGTCTTGTCTGCTTCAGCCACCTTTTTCTTTCAGGTCGTTGTTGCAGAATGTACTTAGATGATTGTGTAACTGATGTTTGGCACTCTTGAAATGGTCAGGTTTGTTCACAGAACAGTAGAAATCTTGGAAGTTAAGTGAAAGCAAATGTATTAATATTTGTTTTTCTATTTTTTTTTTTTTTTTTTGGTACCGAGATTCAAACTTGGGTCCTTATGCTTTTCAAGGCAGGCAACGGAACCACTGAGTTAAATCCCTGGCCCTGTTTTTCTAGTTTTTAAATCACTTTTCTCCCAACTTTTTCTTTGTTTTTTGGGGACAGGGTCTCACTATGTAGCCCAGGCTGTCCTCAAATTCTCTGTGATCCTCCTGCCTCAGCCTCCAGAGTGCTGAGATTACAGGTGTGGTGCCACCATGTCCGGCTCTCCTAGTTTTTACCTTAACAGGTTTCTCTTGCTCTACATACATATACATATACAAAGGTTTTTTTGTATTTTGTTTTTTTAATAAGTATTAGTGCCCGAAGAAAATTCAGAGGTTAATTTGATTTGAAGACTTTTCATCTATATATCTTTTAGCTATTTGCTTCACTATTAACTTTTCTATTTGACATCAGTACCCATTGTCAATTAGTGGATTAAAATTCCAGTCCTTGAGTATGCTTATATAGCACATAAGGCAAATATTTTGTAAATTTATCTTCATCCCTTATACTAACCAAGTTGATTAAATAATAGAGGAAAAGGGATTTCAAAAACTACAAACAACAGGCCTGAGATTAGATTGTTTTTTGAAATACTCATAAAATGTTTCCTTCTCAAAAGAGAGTCTAACTTCCCACAATATTTGATGTTTTTTGCAGTTCCTTTTAGGTGAGGCTTTAGGTCTTGTTATTTATGGACAACAAAATCAGTAGTACAAAGTAGAAAGGGGAGGAGTTGGCCCAGTAGAACCCACTGTAGTACTGATAAGTCAAACCTTCCTGCCTTGAAAGGGACCTTAAGGTTGTATGGAAGGAATTTTAACCAAAGTTAAAGCTGTGTAATTGATACACTATTTTATAGTATATTTTATACTGTTTAGTTAAAAGCAAATATTAGAGGAGTAATTACGGTTACAGTGCAAACTAAATTCCTAGACATAGCAACCCCTGTAGAAAATAATCAGTTGAAAAATCAGGATGAGGACAAAAAGGTTATCCACGTCTTCACACCCTGAGCTGACCTGCTCTCGAGCAGATGACACAGTGGTTTAATCATTAAAGAACACTGATTTCTGTCTTCAAAGTGAAATCATTTCTGAGACTATAGTTTGCGTTATAACTTTGATCCAAGTAGAATAAACCTTTACCAGCCATGTAGAAATCTGAGGACAAGGGACAGTAGATGTTGGAATTAGAAGATGTAACTGGAAATCAGAGAGAATATTTACATTTTTAAAAACATTTATTAAAGTAAAAGATATAACCATTAATCCACCTCAAAATGTTCTTCCGCACTTTGAATTCACTTATCCCATCATTCTTGCCTCTTTCTGAAGCACTTCTGGAAGTCATCTTTTGTATTTTTAGTTGCACTCTCAGAGCTTCCTTGATGTCCTGAATTGACTTGAAATATTTACCTTGGTCTTGTCTTTTTTTTTTTTCTTTTTTCTTTCTTTTTTTTTGAGACTGGGTCTCACTATGTAGCCCAGGCTGGCCTCAAATTTGTGATCTTCCTACCTCAGCTACGAAAGTGCTGGGGTTACAGACACCTGGCTTGCAAGGTCATTTTGACTTTGGGGAAGAGCCAGTAGTCCAATGGTGCCAGGTCCAGTCAATAAGTTGGATAAAGACACAGCGTCATAGTTTTACAAACCTGCCTCTCTGTTGGATGGCATTTGGAATACACAGTTACTGTATTTTTGGTCATACCTTGTAATGAAAGAGGACTTCCAGACCTGCTTCAGAGATGTGTTCAAAGTGAGGGGAGGTTATTTTGAGTATTAATAGTATCTTTTACTGTGATACTTTCTAAAAATTTAAATGCACTGTAGACTTTTATCATCCCTTGTAAAATCTAGAAAAGGTGGCACAGGCATGCCTATAATCCTAGCTGCTTAGGCTAAGCCAAGAGGATTGTGAGTTCAAGGTCCACCTCAAAAAGGGCTGGGATGTAGCTCAGTGATAAGAGTGCTTGCCTAGCATGAGTGAGGCCCTGGTTTGATTGATCCTCAGTACCACCAAAACAGAAACCCCACCAAAAAACCCCTAGAAACAGATACACTTTGCAAAGTGCTACAGTGAGGAGGGCTAACAGGTTGCTTTACTATGACAGTTATGTTTTGCCAGGCCAGATAGCAAAAGATCTGCCACTGATTTACACTGCACATGTAAAACAATGAATATGCAGAGAATTACAGTAGAAAGAAGCTTACATATCTAGTTTCTCTACAGTCTGCAAAAGTTTTCAAGAAAAAACATTTTTGTTATTTTTGTACCCTTTAAAATATCAGCCATAGGTTCAGTTTTAATAGAAACAGAACACTCCAGATTCTTTCCATGGAAAATCATGAGATGTCAGGTGATTGACTTGATTTTCAGTTGAATTGGCTTAATGCTAAAATAAAGTATACTATCTGTACTAACAAGTCTTACTGCGTGAACAAAACTAACAGCTGTACTATGCAAAGAACATGTTATTAGAAGGCTAATCTCATGCTGGCCCTATACCTAGGGATCAGTAGTCTAATACTTGTAAGCCATGTTGCTATGCTATGTATATTGCACTTCCGCCTTGTCCCATACCTGAAGACAGGTCACCAGAACATGCACCACTACAAAGTAGAAAACACTTGACACAAGCCAGCAAATGTCATTTAATAGTTTAGTGCTGAGAGTATATGGAGCACTTTTATTTTGTAAATACTTTAATAAAAGTTTTTATTCTGTAGTGATGCGTCACAGCCAGCAAAAAAGGCCAAGAATGACTAATGTTGCTTTGAAATGCAAATGATCAGATTGAGAATTAGGCGTGCTTTCTCAATATCTTTCTACTTCTGACTAACCAAAAGTTAGTGTCCATATATTTACATAATAAACATACCCTGTTCAAAGTCAGAGATACCAGAGTTATAGATGGGAATAAAACATTGACCTGGGAGAGATCAGCAAAATGATGGACTAAGAAGCTCTGAGCTCTCATTCCCTAACAGAAACAATGAAACAACTAGTAATTGGACCATCTTTGGTAGTGTGCTGGTAAAGTCAGGTTTACAGCAACCAAGAGTGTATCCAATCAAGAAAAACCATTTTCAGAATGGCAGGCAGTTTTGTATTTTCCTAATTGCCTACCACCACCACAGTGACAGTCTCATTTCTGAAGCAGCAGAAGCCCAGTTCCCACCCATAAACTGCATGACCATCTACATTTTCTTCACCTGTCTAAGCAATGCCTAAAGGACTGACCAGAAGATACTCTTCAGAAGGTAATCAGTGCTTAGAAAAGTTGCAAGGATCCAGATGCCTGGGACAGGCAATTATGGGTAGAGATGTAAAATAAAATAGCCAGGGCCCAGAGGAGAAGCTAGGGGCTTAGAATGCCATATGTCCAGGGAAGATACTTACTCAGGAAAGGACTAAGACTTTCAAAGCTGTCATTTCTCTCTGCCTCCTAAGCTCAGAGCAAACGTAACTATATGTTGAAGGTTACCTTAGCACTGAGCTAGTCTACAGGGACCTGGAGGACTGCCATTAATGGTAATTTGTCAGAATAGCCAAGAATGACAAAAAGAACAATGACTTCAACAATCACATATGAAGAGGAAGAGTTTGTTACAAAAAAGTGGGAAAGTCAACAAAACTTGACATCCTTAACCAAAACAAAAACAGAAAACCTTTAGCAAAGGGGAGAAGATGCTAGACAAATAGAATGTGCAATTTTTTTACTAAAAAAAAGCATACAAAGCAAGGGGAAATAAGGCCTATTTAAAGAACTGAGATAAATTGAGAAAATGTCCTTAAGCCCAGACATAAAACTTAATGGACAAAGACTTTAAAACAGCTATCTCAGATATGCTAGATATGCTCAGCTAAGGGAAATGGTAAATGCATAAAATCAGTATCAGTAAACAAGAATTATGAAGACCCCAAAAAATAACAGGAGAAAAGTACAATAACAAATGAAATTCTCACCAGAGGCGTTCAGAAGCAAATGAACAAGAAAAAAAAAAATGAGCAGATTTAAAGATAGGACAATCGAATACAGAAATGAATGAAGCATAAGCAAGAAGGAAGGTGAGCATTGCATAGAAGATTGTGGGACACCAGCCACATCTCACACACTTCATGTTTCTAGAGACCATGTTCAGGTAACCCTTATTTTACTTATTAATGGCCTTAACGCACAAGAGTAGTGATGCTAGTAATGTTATTACAGTATATTGTTATAATTGCTCTATTTTGTTTGTAGTGCTGGAGATCAAATTCAGGACACCATATGTGCTAGGCAAGCATTCTACCACTGAGCTACAACCCTAACCTTGTTAGTCTCGTGTCTAATTTAGAAATTAAACTTTATCATAGTTATGTGCAGTCACATGTTGCTTAGCAACAGAGATTCTTGTCATTGTACAAATACATAGCATATTCACACAAACTGAGATACCTGAAACATCACTGGTTGGTTCACATCATATGGTCTGCTGCTGACAGACATTATGTTGTGCATGACTATATAGGAGAAGCCAGTATATGTAGGATTTGGTACTATCCACAATTTCAGACATCTGTTGGGGTTCTTGGGGCATATTCCTTCTTATATACAGGGGCACTACTGTGTAAACCAATGTCCCATATGAATACTGATGGAAAAGTCCTTAGTAAGATACTAGCAAACAGCTCTGCAGCATATTGTAATGATGGTACACTGAGCAAGAGGGACTGATTCCTATATATATTTTTACCTATACAGTCATGCACAACCATAATAGCATTTCTAGAATGCAAGGATGGTTCAACATAAGGAAATGGATCACTCTAGTATACCACATTAACAGAGTGGGGAAACCTATAGCACCTCAAGTGATACAGGAAAGGCCTTTGATAAAATTCAGTACGCTTTTGTGATTAAAAACAATTGAGAGTAGAAGAAGCTACTTAAACACAATAAAAGCCATACTGAAAATCCTACAGCAGTGAAAGGCTGGGAGCTAGTGTCTTACTAAGTTGTCCAAGCTAGAAATCCTGCCGCCTCAGCCTCCTACAATGTTGGGATTACAGGCAAGTGCTCCCATGCCCAGTTTATATGATCTTTCATGTAGAAAACCCTAAAGATAACCATTGAAAAGATTGTTACAGCCAATAGGTGAATTCATCTAAGCAACAGGATCCAAAGACAACAGGAAAATCAGTAGCATTTCTATACATTAATGAACAACCTGAAAAGGAAATTGAGAACAGTTCTATTTACTGTAGTAACAAGCATAAAATATGTAGGAATTAACAGGAAAGACTTGTACACAGTGAAAAAACTACAAAACATTGGTGAAAGAGGTTAAAGACAACAAATAGAAATACATCCAAGATGTCATTTCTAATGAAAGTGATCTACAGAGTCAGTGTAATCTCTCAAAATCTCAATGGCTTTTCTTCTGCAGAAGTAGAAAACTATCCTGAAGTTCAGATGTAATTTGAAAGGACCCTGAATAGCCAAAGCAATCTTGAATAATAAACTGGAGATTTCAAAACTGATTCTTCCAGACAGACCAACAAACTAATGGAATAGAATAAACGGCCTAGAAAAGAAGCCTTTCCATAAGATTTTTTGTGTGTGTGTGCCGGGGATTGAACTCTGTAAGATTTTTTTTTTTTTTGGTACCGGGGATCGAACTTGGGTCCTTGTGCTTGTGCAGCAGGTGGCGAAACCACTGAGCTAAATTCCCAGCCCAAACTCCATAAGATTTTTGACAAGAATACCAAGGTTATTTTCAGTGAGTAAAGGACAGTTGTTTTTTTAACAAGTGGCACTGGGTAAATAAGATAGTCATGTGCTAATGAATGAAGTTAAGGTCCAACAGCATATACCAAAATAACAAGATGGATCAAAAACCTAAATACAGGCATTAAAACCATAAAACTCTTGGAAGAAAATGGAAAGCTAAAGGATATTGGATTTGGCAATGATTTCTTGGATTTGACACCAAATTTGAAGGCAGCAAAAGTAGACCCAACTAGACTTCATCAAAACTAAAATTTTGTGTATGAGAGGATGCTATAATAGCATAAAAAGGCAATCCTCAGAATGGGACAGAATATTTGGAATTCACATACACAGAACAAAAGTTGAACAGCAACACAAAGCCTGATTTAAAAATGGCAAAGGACTTGAGCTCCAGAAAAGACACACACACACACCTATAGCTACAGAACACATGAAAGCAGTAAACAGAAAATGCAAATCACAACCACAATGAAATGCTACCTCTTTGTGCCCTCCCGATTCAAATGCTGGCAAAAATAGGAAGAAATTGCCACCCTTGAACAATGCTGGTGGAAATGTGAAGTAGTGAGGGTGTTATGGCACACATTATAATAGTTTCTAAATGAAATAAATTACCATTTAACCCCATAATTCGACTTCCTATTCCAATACTTGAAAATAAAGCAGAAGCCTGGGACATATTTGTAGGCCTCACTGCAGCAGTGTTCACAGTAGTCAAAGCTGGAAATAACTCAAGTTCCCATCAACAGACGCATGGTAGATAAGAAGCAATATATCTGTACAAGGGAATATTATTTGGTCATTAAATGGAACTGAATTCTGATGCACATGTGGTTGAACCTTATGGACATTATGTTAAATGAAAGACGCTAGTTACAGAAGGATAAACTATGATTCCACTTATATGAGGATCTAGAATAGTAAAATTCATGACCAAAAAAACAAAAAAAGGACCATTTTCTGTTGGGGTTAGGGTTAAGAGTAAACTAGGATTGAAGTGTACAAAGATTCAATAGAGGATTATGCAGAAACCCTGGAGATTAACAGTGGCGATGGCTGCTCACAGAGTGAGTGTACTTCACTGAATTGTACAAAGTGGTTAAACTCTTATATTTTACTACAATAAAAATGTTTTTAGAACTATAAGAATTCATGTCCTATTTTTTTAAAGCTACCCAGCCACAAGAAGAGGGAATCTTAAATGCATATTGCTAAGTGGAAAAAGTAAAGCAACAAGTGGTTGCCAGGGGTAGAGGAGTAAACATGGAGCACAGGATTTTTAGGGCAGCAAAACTGTTGAATATGATGCTGTAATAGTGGATAATGTAACATGCACTTGTCAGAGTCCATACATTATACTCAAAAGAGGTACTTGCACTAATTAGAGTGCTCGTTAATCTGGTGCAGTGTTTACTAACTGCAGCTGGAGGGAGGGGAACACATGAGAACTCTGTTTTCTGCTCCTCAGTGGGGTCACATCCTGATAGACCTGAGGGAATTTATCTGTAAGTCATAAATGCATGTAACACACCCCAGCTAGCAAACATCATAGTGTGGCCACACGGCACTGGAGACACTGGCGTCTACTCTGGCTCATGTAGACTGCAGAGCAGAGTGTAGCCTGCTGACCAGCATTACATGATTGCATTTTACACTGCTAACTCGGGGAAAAAACTGTAATTTGAAGTGCAGTTTCTACTGAATGCATACCACTTTTGCACCACTGTAAAGTAGGAAAACCAAGTTGAACTACTGTTAAGTCAAAACATAAACTGGGGGCTGTAAATCTAGAACTAAAGCTTTAATTTTAAAAATTACATGAGAGCCTTTCATTTTACCTGCTGTCTCAGTGCCTCTCCTCATCTGTATTTGTTACATAAAGAATGCATGATGTGGATAAAGGAATCAAATGCTAGTGACAAATTCATCCATCCATTTGCCCACCCACCCTTTATTACAAGCCCCACACAGGCCAGCGTGTGTGCAAAAGCCAGTGTGTTCAGCAGTTCTCAAAAGATGTGATTTGGGGATGGCCTGTTTCCTCTGGCTAATGTTTGCTCCTCTGCCTCAACCCCAGCACCCTTTTGATCAGAACACCACCCTCCCAGACTGCTATAAAATTGTGTTTTCACACTTCCTTAAAGTTGCTACTGCTTTTTTTCCATGAAGAGTCAATGCAATTTAGGTGGAAAAAATGGTAAATTACTCTGACATAACCAATTCTTAATGTTGCCCCCAAAAGATGAAAACTTTGCATTCTCCCAAATCATGCACTAAAAATTACAAAACTAATGAGAGAAATACGCTTAGTAACTTGTAGTAAGAATAACAATCGTAACTATTTCCACTGGTATTTTCACTGAGAATTACTCCATCTTTTCCAACCTTAAACTTTGGGGTTTATGTTTCTTCTTTGAGATACAGATCTTTAAAATCAATTTCTTCATATACTATTTTAAAAGACACAATTTTTATCAGTATTAAAATGTATCTGTCAGTGTTAAAAATGTATTAAAATCTGCCCATCAATTTTTTCTAACTGCTTGGTGAAATGGCTGCACAGCTGTTAATCTGTACTTGCAGCTTTCCAGACAGCTTAAAGCAGCAACACTTGAGGTTTTTTTTGAAGCCCTAAACCAGCCACTAGTTGCACTTAAAGGATTTCCATCTTTTTCCTAAGATCACCTGTGTGTCTAGGGCTCTTTCAAAGGCTTTCTTTCAAAAGCTGTGGGCAGGTTTGCCCTTGAGGCTTGACCACATTCACCTGCAGGGAAACACTGGGCCTAGAGCTCCCTGGGCGGCACCAGTACCATCCTGGTGGACACAGATGCACACCTATCAGAACAGGTTGCCTCATGGCACGATGTTTACTGGGTCTTCTGTTGAAGGAAGGGTGAATGACTTTAACTTGTTTTACCTTATATTATTTCACTTTCTGCCTTTGTATGATGAAAGCATGCTTGGTTCATGCTGACATTTCTTCAGTGTTCTCCATGACCTGTGGGAAATAATTAGGAAATGAGTTTTCTCTTGATTTCTTTTCATCCACACATCTTCCTGCACCGTGTCATTCTATGCATATACATAAGCTCACAGCTTCTGGCTGTGATAAAAAGGGGTGCAGTGATTAACTAGAATATCTAAGACTTCCAGCTGCTGCCATTCATCCCTCCTCAGGGCAGAATTGTGTCACTGTGCCCGTTCTAGTCCGCACAAGTTCCCTGCCTCTGCCTTTCCTTTCTGCCTATTTCTGCCAAAGTTCCAATAAGCCTAGTGATCTTTATGGTATATGTAAATTAGAAAGGGCCAGTTGAGTGGCAGAGTGCTAGAATGAGTAACAGCAAGAAAAATTCAAAGAGACACCAGGACTATGAAATCCTGTGACCAACTAACTGGGGCTGTTTCCGGTGGACAAAGATTTCTCTAGCCAATGAGTACTGAAGCTCTTGTCCATATGGGTACATTGTAAGTGTGGCAAGAAAAACATGAGACTGGGTTTTAATACTTGTTCTACACCATTCAGATGCGTGATTTTAGTCTCTCTAAGATTCCCGCTGTAGAGTGAGATTAGTTCACCTACCTTACATGGTTAAGGTCATACGAGCTGACATATTTGAAACATCAACCCCAGTGCCTGGTACACAGTGTTCATGACTTTATCATAACTCTGCTTTCTACCTGTGTTTTTGGCATGAGGGAAGTATTTCAATAGGGAAATGAGACTCACTTGTGGTGGCACATGTCTGTAATCACAGCACTTTGGAGGCTTAGGCAGGAGGACTGAAAGTTCTAGCCTAGCCTGGGCAACTCAGTGACTTAGCAAGACACTGTCTCAAAAAATAAAGGGCCAAAGACGTAGCTTAATGTGAAGGTCCTGGGTTCAAATCTCTAGCCCCTCCAGACCCCAAACACACAAAACAGGGAGAAGAGTTAACAATGTAAATGTATGCCAGGACTTTAGGCTATGGGTTCTGTTTATGAACAAGTTGCAAAGATCACCTGGAGGTTTATAGAAATACACAGGTGACATGAACACACCTATCAGAGCAGCTAATAAACTAAAATACCACTTTACGGTGGTAGCAGAACATACTCTTGGTGAAGAAGGGCCATTTGTGAATAAATTATAACACGTATATTGATGCTATAATTTTCATAATGTAAGTGTAAGCTAATATTGAGTTTTTTTGTTTTTTGTTTTTTTGGTACCTGGGATCGAACTCGGGTCCTTGCACTTGAGGGGCAGGCGGCAGAACCACTGAGCTAAATCCCTGGCCCTAGGCTAATATTATTAAGTCCCAATCTCTGTAATCAGTTCTCCTCAGCTGAGATGCCAACTTACTTTCATGACACATATCATACACTTGGTAAAAAGTATTCCTTTTATTTCTTTTACAGTTACGGCTTTAGAACTACTGACTGAGATTGTCTGACCTTGAATATAAGTTTGGTCAAATGTGTCAAGCCCAATACTTGCTTCATCCTGGTTTTCAACTATTTTTATGAAATCTTTTTTCCTAGCCAGGGATGGTGGTGCACACATGCAATCCCTGCACTCTGGGAAGCTGTGGCAGGAGGATCAGAAGTTTGAATCTGGCCTGGACAACTTACTGAGAACCTGACTCAAAAGGCTGGGATGTAGCTCAGTGTGAAGGCCCTAGGTCCAATCCCTACTACCAAAAAATTATTTAGTTCCGAAACTCTCTTCCCATATTTTTACAAATGTATGTTTACAAACAGGAAGAGGTCAAAATACAAATTTATTTTATATGAACACAATTTCTAAAAAATAACTGAGTTTTTGCATCCCATCATCAAACATTTTGAGAAGAGAAAAACCAAGAGGTAAACCTGAGGAGAAATGCTACTGAATAATAAGCATAGACTTTTGTGCATCCAGGCCACACAGCAGGACACCGCTTCCTATGTGCTTGGAAGACACATCTTCCTAACAGATCATAGAGCAAGTAACATGATCAGTAAAGCTTTTTGTCCTTTTTGAGAACTTTTTCACTGAGTATTTTACCATCAAGTACTTTAAAAATTAATGTGGCTCTAGATGTTATCAATACAAAAGTAAAGACCACCAAACTTCCCAAGCCATAAAAACACATGCTTCCAACTCAGTTAAAAAGTACAGCAACACATTATCTCAGCCTCTTGATAATTTAACCACTCTTAGAACATTAAAAATTCAACGCACCATATGATAGCTTCATTTAATAATGGCATCTCTGTCATTTTGGTTGACTTTTATTGTGGAGACCCATATGTAACAGAATTTACCATTTTAATCATTTTTAAGTTCAGTGGAATTAAGTAAAATAACAATGTATGGTATCATCACCATCACCTCTCCAGAACACTTTGCATCATTCCAAAATGAAGCTGTTGTACCCATTAAGCAGTGTTTTATTGCTTTTGTCGACAGAACACCTGGCGCCCAAAGTTAAAGGAAGAAAGGTTTAATTAGCTCACAGTCTGTAGAGGTCTCAGTCTATAATCAGCTGGCTCTAAGGCAGGGTGGCATTGCAGAGGAGAAACAGTTCATTGTGGGCAGAGGACAGCAAAAGCAAGTAAGGGCCAACCACAGCTCTTTCTATCCCTTACTTTTTTTTTTTTTTTTTGGTACCAGGGATCGAACTCAGGTCCTTGCGCTTGCGCAGCAGGCAGCGAAACCACTGAGGTAAATCCCCGACCCTCTATCCCTTACATTTTATCCTGGTTATTTAGTGTAGGTAGCACTCAAACCTTTAATCCTAGCGCCCTTGATTCATTGCACCATGAATCAATTCCAGCGTCACACACTATCCAGCCTCCTTTGAAAAAGCCCCACCAGCCCCACTGCATGAGGCTCTGGGGGGACATCTAAACACAAGCCATAACATTCCACCCCTAGACCCCCAAAGACTCATGCATATCCCTTTACGTAAAGGTATTTATTTAGTCTATCACCAAGAGTTGCCAAAGCCCTGACAGTTTTGGCATTCCTAGCAGTGAGGACTCACAGGACTCACAGCTCTGTCTTCTCAACTCAGGTATTCTGCCAAGCTCAGCCTAGGTGCCTACCCTGTGTTGCAGCCTGCAAGGTCTCTTAAGGCAGTAAGAGAAGGAAATCTTTGGCTCACATCATCTGTTTACCATCTCTCTGGCTCATGGTCCTTTGCTGCCTGATATCAATGCCTTCAAAACCATTGCTTCATATATTTTGTCCATTTTTTATCATTTCAAGTAAGAGGAAGTCCAGTGTCTGCTCTTCCATTTCAGTCAGAAGCACAAGTCTCAAAACAGTTTAAAAACATTCATTTCTTGGGCCAGGGATTTAGCTCAGTGGTTTCAACCACCTGCCGTGCAAGCGCAAGGACCCGACTTCGATCCCTGGTACCAAAAGCAAAAACGAAAAACATTCATTTGTCTACATTATTTCCCAAAGGCTTCCTTATCCTGCAGGTAAAACTCCTTCCCTCCATACACTAGTCTAGTTCAGAACACTTTCGGAAACCAGTCCTCATAGCTGTGCAGTATGTTATAGCTAAAAACATGAGATAACCTTGTTTTCTTTTGGAAAAAAATATGATTGTGTCATAATGCTAATAAGAAATTTATCTTTGCCAGGTATGGTGGCACATGCCTGTAATTCTAGCACTTGGGAGGCTGAGGCAGGAGGATTGCCATGAGTTCGAGGCCAGCCCGGACTATGTAGTGAGTTCAAGGCCAGCCTGAACTACATAGTGAGACCCTGACTAAAAAGAAAAAAAATTATCTTCATGCGAAAATGGTGCTAGCACAAAATCCATGGAAAAATTTTTAGGGTTAATGTTTCTGGACAGACCCAAATCCAAATCCTTATGTGGAACAAAAACCTCAGGGAAGTCTTTAAGCATTTTGATTTGAATGTACTCACTGTGCTGGGCACTGGTCCTGCTCATTTCTCCCACACTGACATCACACTGGGCAGAGCTGGCTCTCTGGAGGTGGCCCTTCCTGACAGTGCAGAGAGAGAAACACACAGATGGGAAAGGAGTCCCTGGAAAGTATGGCAAAAGCACTCAAAATACCATGGTGCCTCGGTTCACAAATGCTGCTGTTTGCAAACTATTTAGTTCATAAACAAGTGTTTTGCAAAATTTTGCATTTGTTTGCAAATTTTACATCAGGTGACAAACACGACCACAGCCATCTTTCCTGCACAAACACAAATGTGGCCACCTTTTCCAAAATCATGGAACAAATTAATTTCATGAACCAAGATACCGATATCTAGAGGCTCATTTTCTTTTCACAGCTACCTGAAATTTTCAGGACTGCCCTGAAACAGCACCGCCGTATTTAACAGATGCAGAAGGACAGGAGCTCCTCTGAGGGGACCCACAGCCTTTTTCCTTTAAGATGGCCCAGCTGCTGTATCTTAAGGGAATAGGAAGATATTTCTGTCTCTTTTAAAAAGTGAGCTTCCACCGTTAGCTGGACCCTTAAGTAACATGGGGTGGCTGTTGTGAACTATTCTATTAATGGAAATTAAGAAAAATTTTAGATCTGGGCCAGGGATTTAGCTCAGTGGTTTCGCTGCCTGTTGCGCAAGCAGAAGGACCCGAGTTCAATCCCCAGTACCCCCCCCCCAAATTTAGATCTTTTTAAGGTTACAGTTCATCAGATATTTTTGTCATCCGACCAATTAGTATCAGTTATGACTCACGGTGATCATGGCAGAGTTTTTTTAAAACTACTGTGAATATTAAATAAAATTTTGGAACATAAACTTGTTTTAATTTTTTCAATATGCCAATACTCAACAGTATGAACTTACATTAATAAAAATAAATTCAAGACTGTGTTTATCACAGCAAAACAGAATCTTTTCTAAATGCATCCTAGCTTCTGCTCCTGAAAGGGATCTTGATTCTAGCCCAGATCTTAGCATTATTTAGGTAATAGTTTGGACCTCATTCAGAGATAAGAGTGATATTCACAAGGCTCTTAGCTTAAAGCAGTTTCAACCATCAACAGACCTGGAAACTTACAGTAAACAGTGAACTGGTTTCATTCTTGAAAGCACCACATTTCCAAAACACAATAACATTTCTTGTGGTCAATATATAATAAATTTTGTATCTAGATTCCACAAGTAAGAGCTACTCATTTTTAAATTAATTCTGCTCTTGGCATTAAGACACAGGTCTCTGACCGTATCATTATGTAAAGTTGTCTCTGCTTATGTTGTCATTCAAAAATGAAAAACATAATTTAAGTACATATAACCTATCTGAAAATTATTCAGTAATGTCACTTTTATAAGAATGTTAAAGATGTGGGCTGGGATTTGGCTGAGTGGCACCGCGCCTGCCTTGCAAACACAATCTCCTGAGTTTGATTCCCAGTACCAAAAAAAAAAAAAGAATGTAAAGATGCTATTTTTCTCACTGATTAAATTTATATTCATTTTCCAAATGGCTTAAAATGAAAGTGCCAACTTAGCCCGGCCATGATACCCAGATGTTTGGTCAAACATATTGGGGATCTTTCTGTGACGGTGTTTTATGGATGAGATTAACATCTATATCTGGATTTTGAGCAGAATAGATGCCTTCCACCATGTGGGTGGCCTCACACAACTAATTGTGGCTTTAATAAGTAGAGCTGGGAAGTTTAGGGAAGCTATGTTTTTAGGGATTTGCGCACCTAATCTATTTTTTCAAATTTACTGGCATGAAGTTACACAAAATACTCTTTTTTTTCTGTGTGTATTGTGACAGGAATAGAACCTAGACCTCACAATGCTAGGCAAGGAAGGACTCCACCACTGAGGTACAGATCAGCTTAGCTTTCATCTTTTAAATGCCTGCAGCATCTGTGTTATACAGCTTTTTTATATTCCTCATATAGTTCATTTGGGCCTTTGCTCTCTCTTTTTAAACCACAGATAGCAACTTGTCAATTTTATTAATTTTTTCAAAGAACCAAACTTTGGCTTTATTGTCTCTATTATATATATTGTATGTATATTTTAATTAATATCTGCTCTTTATTATTTACTTTTGTTTTCCTGAGATTTATTTTTCTATCTTTTTTATAAGCTAGTACAAAAAATATTAAGCTTATTTTCAGGCTGTCTAATAAAAACATTTGGATAATAAATTTCCCTTGTTGGCATCTCACAGATTTGTAAACAGTATTCTCATTATAGTTAGGTAAAAATATTTTCTAAATTGCATTACAAGTTGTTATTTTGACCCATGAATTCTACATAAGTATGCTTAAGACCTTCTATAGTTGTCTTTTGTCACTGATTTTCCATTATAGTCATTCATACTCAGGATGTACAGTACAGTATAGCAAGTCTCTTTGTAGTACAATATCAAGCTTTTTCCTTTTTTTGCACAGTACTAGGGATTGAACACAGGGCCTCATGTGTGCTATGCAAGTGCTCTACCACTGAGCTACGTCCCAAGTCCATTTTGTTTGTTTATTTATTTTAAAACAAGATCTCTCTAAGTTGCCCAGGCTGGGCTTGATCTTGCAATACTGCCTCTGCCTCCTGAGTAGCTGGGATTACCTGCGGGCACCACACCTGACCGAACATCAAATTTTTGAAATGTGAACACTTCTTTATTGCCAGTACTGAATAATTCCCTAAATATTACATATGAGCTTGTAGGAATTTTTGCAACAGTTAGATATTGTGTTGTAGAATAAGTCTAATAGATCAACCTTGTTAAAATCTTATGCTACTGATTTTTATCTCCCTATAAGTTTTTGAGAGTCAAACATTAAAATTTAACTACTGTGGTAGCTTTGTCTGTTTCTTTTATATTTATATATTTCTTTTCTTTTCTCTTCTTTCCTTTATTTTTTTGGCACTGGGGATTGAATTCACGGCCTTCACACTGAGCTGTATCCCTAGCCCTTTTTATTTTTACTTTTTGTACCCTAACATGCCTGGCTTAAATTTCAATTTTTTTATTTATACTTTTTGAGACTAATTTTATTTTGAGATCACAGAAATCTTCCGTGTTGGTGGCTGTGGTGTGAGAGTAGATGAACACAGTGTATTTTTCCTACACAGTTCCCTTCTAATTAGATGAACTCTCTCTTTCCACCATGTGAGGACATGAAGAAGATGGCAGTTTGAAATCAGAAAGAGGGCCTCCACCAAACCTGACCACGCTGGCACCTTGGTCACAGACAGCCTCTAGAACTGCGAGAAGTAAACTTTTGTTATTTAGGCCACTCAGCCTATGGTATTTTGAATAGAAATTCAAAGTAGGACAACTAAGTGGATCTGTTTTTTAAATTGTTAAATCTTCCTGGTGACCTTGGAGCACTGTTTGCTTGGGGTCTGTGTATGACGGCGGCTATGTCAGGAGTCAGCTGAAAGTTTAATAAGCTGGACACCTAGGACAGCTCAGTGACATGGCTGGCACCTGTTGCTTGCTGTTGGCTGGAGCTTCATGCTGTTTAGGTTTCTTACATGACAATAGCCAATTCTATGAGGGAGCATCCTGAGTAGGAGTGGCAAGAGATAGGAGTCACTAGGCCACGTAAAGGCTATGTCCTTAGTCATGGAACAGCATCATTTCCACAACATTCTATGCCCAAAGCAATCTTACTGCTTTCCCAAATTGAAGGATTAAGAGAAAAATCCTTGAGGTGGATGCATGGCAAGATCACACTGCAGGAGACCTCATAAGGACAAGAGATACTGAATGGCCATCTTTAGGAAACACAAGCCCACTGTATACTTTTCTATTGGAAGTACTCAGATGTTAAGTTATGAAATATAAAACCTTCTGGATTGCTCATATGTGTTTTGAAATAAAATACCACATACTTAAGAGCAAGCTCCTTCCAAATTTTAATTATTCCTTGATGTAAAGTAGCTCAGAAATACAGGTTTTATGAAATTCTCTTTTTGAGAACATAAAATTATCAAGCCAACTTGCACCTCTTTCATGCTTGCCCTCACCTCAATTTCACAAGTACTGGAGAGCATAGTGTACATTTCATAAATACCAATGATGAGCTATGGAACCAGAGAGCTAAATTTCATCAATTCCATATTAATGTTTTTTTTTCACAAAATGTAACAAAATACTGAAGATCAATACTAATGCATGAAAATCACCTTCAGTGCGTAGCATTGTTTCATTAAAGTAATTTTTCTTTTTGTCTCCTGAGTTACCAGTCTTCTCACATTAACTGTCTGCTTATTTGTCTATCTCCAAGTAGACTTAAGTCTCCTATAAAGTTAGGGAGCATGTCCTCCTTGTTCACTATTATATTCATTGTGGCAAGCACAATGCTGCCTAGCACATTGCAGGGACTGAATAAAGAAGAGACCCTAAACAGTAATAAAGTTTTCAACTTTTATTTATAGTACTGCGTAAGTTGTTTCTTTTTCACACTGAAGACATACTCAAAATAGACCTTGCCCAAATATTTGGGTGTTTTTGTCATGATGACTATTGTGAATGTGGGTCTACCTTACTAGTTTAGAGAAATCAAGGTAAATGATAGTTACAGTGAACAGAACAAATTTAACGACTTATTAAGATGCTTTAAAAATGACTTCTTACCTTAATAACAGAAACTGTATTCAAGAGATAACCCTGAACATAAAACTGGAAAAACATTTAGATGTGAATGAGCACATTAATTATTTAGTGGAATCATTACTCTATGTATACTATTACTTTCTTCTTTTCAAGAGCACGTTTCTACGTTGGTTACCTGCAAAGGAAGTAGAGAGCTGCAATGGTGAGAGTGACTAGAACAGCCAAGGCCACAAAAGCTGCGAACAGGTTATTTTTGGTTTGGATGCTGGAACTTGGGAGAAAAACCTCTTCACAACGTGCTCCTGTGTAATTTTCAACACACCTATAGGATAAAATTTCAGACAGAGAATGCATCTATATTCTGTTCGTTAATGTGCAGAACCAGAGATTTCTAGCTGGTAGGAGGAAGGAGACTAATTTTCAGATTGCTGAATACAGAATACACATGCTGTTCAACAATACTTACAGGGCTGTTACAATAAAACATAGAGTATTAATTTATGAAGTTTAATGTTTATTGTCTTTTTAAATATTCTAATGGCTTGGGAACACCAGAGAAATTATAAAGTAATCGGTTTTCTAGACTTGTTTCCTTTTCTTTTTGAGACAAGGTCTTGATATGCTTCCCAGGCTGCCCCTGAACTGCTGGGCTCAAGCATTCCTTCTGTCTCAGCCCCCCAAGTAGCTGGCAGTACAGGCACTACCACCACAGCACTCAGCTTATCTTCTAGATTTTCAATGATGTAACTGTCCATATATAATTCTAATTAATCTAAAATTTATTTTGTTGTATTTGGATTTAGAGTAATTTTTTTCTCTAAATTGTAACTGGTTATTCCAACTCCACCATTAGATAATCCTTTACCCACTGTTTCAACATTGCCTTCTTTAACATATATCAAGTTTATATAAGTAACAGGATTTATTTCTATTCTTCAATGATGTATACATTTAATACTGGGCTTCTACCACACTGCTTCAATACTGTGACTTTGTAGTATGTTTTAAAATCTTGTACTTCCTTTTTCAGAATACATTTTATATTCTCATTCACCAACAAAAATATTTCAAAGCCAATTAGTTTTAGCTCTCTAGAATTCTATGACAAGGCTAGGAGTGTAGCTTAGTGGTAGAGGGTTTACCTAGCATCCAAAAGTTCCTGGGTTCAATTCCCCAGCACCACAGAAATAACAAAACACAAATTTTGAGAACCTCCCACTGTATGACATAGAACTCTAATCTTTAATATTACTGGTCAGTTCCTTTTTCCCAATTAACATGTTCAAGGGATTATAAAATACAGGGCCAGGATTTAGCTCAGTGCTTCTGCCTCCTGCCTCACAAGTGCAAGGTCCCAAGTTCGATCCCCAGTACCAAAAAAAAAGAGTTTGATTGAGTTCTAGTATTTCATTGCTTGTTTTTTAACATGCACGCAGTGTAAAACACTGAGTGAAAAAAAGACTTTTGATGGAAAAAATTATAATACCACATTATTCTTTATTGGAGCAGACTCAAGAT